AAAAACCATATCGCAGGCGACGCGGCACGAGAGGCAACGGGTCCCAGAACCAGCAAAGGAAGTGAGTTTAGCTGAGAAAATACAAACACTTAAAGAGAATGTAAGTTGCAGTTATTTCGATTTTTCCTTTTTGATCCAATATCTTGAACAAAAATGTATAGATTTCAAAGCAGGCAGGACTGCTCAGAGGTTTACAGCATGGAAAAATCTGACCTCAGACAAAATAATACTTAACTCTATCAGAGGTATTACAATACCCCTCGATGAACTACCACACCAAGGTAGGGTTAATCCTAACCCAAAATTTAGTCACATTGAGACACTGGCTATAAATACTGAAATCGACAGACTACTTGCTAGGGAAGTAATTGAAATAGCGTCACATGAACCAGGGGAGATAATCTCTCCTATTTTTGTCAGACAGAAAAAAGATGGACAATTCAGACTCATTCTGAACTTGAAAGAGTTCAACAAGTCTGTGACCTATATCCATTTTAAAATGGACACACTACAAACAATTACAAATCTTATGACAAAAAATTGCTTTATGGCCTCAGTTGACCTAAAGGATGCATACTATACAATCCCAGTGCACAAAGGTCATAGGAAATATCTAAAATTTTTGTGGAATCAGAACCTTTACCAATTTACCAGCATGCCAAATGGACTGTCTTGTTGTCCAAGGTTGTTTACCAAAATCTTGAAACCTCCCCTCACAGCCCTTCACAAGAAAGGGCATATTTCAAGCAATTATATAGATGACCTATACCTACAAGGTCAAACATTTCACAAATGCAAAAATAATGTGCTTGATACTGTAGAACAATTTGACTCCCTAGGGTTTATAAGTCACCCCAGCAAGTCAGTTTTTGAACCTAGTCAAACACTGATCATTCTAGGGTTTCGATTAGACTCAGTCAAGATGACAATTCTCTGACTGAAGAAAAGGCCACTGCCATTGCAGAACACTGCAAAGCACTTGTGGATTTAGACAGGGTCAAAATACGTGCAGTGGCGCAAGTAGTGGGGAAAATTATTTCTAGCCTGCCAGGGGTCATGTATGGGGCATTATACCATAGAAACATCGAACTCGATAAGACTCGGGCATTAAGACAAAACGCTGGTAATTTTGATGCGTACATGACATTAAGTGATGGTGCTAAAAAAGAATTGAATTGGTGGGTTAGAAATGCTCAAGTAAGCTATAACTTAATTTCACATGGGAACCCAGACAAAGTACTAACCACTGATGCTTCACTCACAGGATGGGGTGCAGTATTTGAAAATGAATCCACTGGAGGTTCATGGTCAACAGCAGAAAAAACTAACAATATCAATGCTCTAGAATTATTAGCTGTGTTTTTTGGGCTGAAATGCTATGCCAAAAATGCTAACAATATTCATATAAGAATTATGACTGATAACACAACTGCAGTATCCACCATTAACCATATGGGTACATGTCACTCCGACAGTTGTAATACCATAGGTAAGGATATTTGGGAGTGGTGCCTTGCCCGCTCTATCTGGATTTCAGCTGCACACATTCCGGGAAAAATGAATGTACAAGCAGACATGGAATCTAGAAAAATCAATTCCGGAGCCGAGTGGATGCTTAATCCTACTGATTTGCAAAAATCTTTGACCCAATTACAATTCACTCCAGTAATTGACCTTTTTGCATCCAGAATCAACAAACAGTTTGTGCGGTATGCATCATTTAGACCTGACCCAGAGGCCGAAATAATAGATGCCTTCACGATACAATGGGGAAATCTAAAATTTTACATGTTTGCCCCGTTTAGTGTTGTTCCAGCAGTTTTACGAAAAATTGTAGAGGACCAGGCCATGGGTGTTTGTGTTCTACCAGATTGGCCCACACGTGCCTGGTATCCCAAGGCCATGAACATGTGCATAGGGAAGCCAGTATTACTCATACCGAAACAGGACAGACTAATACTACCAAACTCACCAGGGGAAACACACCCTCTGGGCAAGAACTTGCGACTTCTAGTTTGTCTATTATCCGGACAAACCTAGAACGACATAAAATTTCAGCTACAGCAAAAGACGTCATTATGGCGTCTTGGCGCGAAAGTACCAAGAAACAATACCGCACATATCTTACTAGGTGGAAACAGTTTTGTGCTGAGAGAAACATTAATTGGTCCAATGCTACGGTTGAGCAGGGCATAGATTTCCTGGCAAATTTATTTGAACAGAAATTGAGCTACAGTGCTATAAATACAGCAAGGTCAGCGTTATCTGTGATACTAACACCTAAAGACGGGACGTCATTTGGAGAAAACCGACTAGTATGCCGGTTTTTGAAAGGCGTATTTGAAATTAAGCCAGCATTGCCAAAATATAAGAAAATGTGGGATGTTGGACAGGTCCTAACTTACGTAAGGTCACTAACTCTGAACTCTGAACTTTCTCTAAAGCAGCTTTCCCATAAATTACTAAGTAATGCTACTGGCTCTCCTAACTGGACAACGTTGTCAAACTATTCACAAACTTAACATACAACTTATGCAGAAGTTGCCAGGGAAATACATATTCACCATTGGGGAAAAGCTCAAACACACCAAGCCAGGAACTCATCAAAAACCAATAGAACTCTTGAGCTATGCAGACAGCGACCTGTGTGTTGTTCGACATTTAGACGAATACATTCATCGGACGACATCAATACGAACAGACAATTCACAATTGTTGATCAGTTTCATAAAACCACACAATCCGATATCGAAAGATACGGTAGCGCGTTGGATCAAGGAAGTACTCAGAGATGCGGGAATAGACACAAATATATATTCTTCGCACAGTAGCAGAGCGGCTGCAACATCATATGGATTCGCGAAGGGAGCTAGACTTACCGAAATTCTTGAAGCAGCAGGATGGTCCAACGCTCAGACTTTCGCCTCATATTATCAAAAACCAATTGTGACAGACACGCTGGGAAATAATATTATGCAGGCGTTTGCAGCAGACGCTGAACGAGATCGAGTTTAGAACTTCACATTTGTTGAAACAATGTTTACAGTTAATAAGTTAATACTGAACCTTGGCATTGAACGCTTATTTCATTAAAACTGTTTCAGTTTGTTATATGAATATTTCATTTCCAACTTACGGAGACTATCAAATTACTCATGATTACCGAACTTCAAAATCTCATGGTACTCCGTAGTGACGTAGCTGATGATGAGATAGAATTTAAAAATTAAACGAAACTTACCTTAAGTTGAAGTTTGATTGTAATTCTACTCATCATCAGCTGGAACGAAGGAGTAACATGCCCACCTCTATTCTTGGCAGGCCCACCGCACTCCTTCGTTCCTTGCTCTTCGGCAATCATTCGCGTTAAATACTGACTGACAAGCAATGCGCATGCTTCTCATGTTACTCCTTCGTTCCAGCTGATGATGAGTAGAATTACAATCAAACTTCAACTTAAGGTAAGTTTCGTTTAATTTTTAAATCATGCGATGTTGCTCGTACAATTAGGGATTAATAGTACTCGTGATGTTTGGAAATTTTCCAAATCACTCGTACTATTAATCCCTAATTGTACTCGCGCCATCGTATGATTACCTATACAAAAAAGTTGTATTTTTAAGAGATTTTTCAATTTTAAAAATATTCTTAATAAAATTGTCGTGTTGCCATGACAACTACTTTAAATACTTCATGTTCAGCTAGAAAATATAATGGTTTTGTCAGCTAGCACATAAATATGTTGATTACTCTTTCATATACATCCCACCGGGCACACGACGTTGTTTCAACGTTGAAATTTGGTAGAAAAAAGGTTGCGACGTCGACAACCTAATATCTACGTTGCTCTGACCAGTGGCGTAACGTTACATTTGGGGGCCCCCGGGGTAAAAAACGATAAGGGCCCCCCTCCACATAAACTACACTATAAAAGAAGCCACCAGTTATGCCCTCAAAACTTAACTACGGTTTAACTACGGTTTTAAGTCTTCGAGTTTTGAATTTTGTGTGAGAATTAAAATGTTTTCCTTTACGCAGGAACTAAGCAAGATGAAGATATTACAAAAGAAATGCAGGTTACATTTAGTTACTCAGTAAAAACTGACTGGTTTAAATGCTATCATTCTATCAACCTAACAGTCCTTAAAACTCAACAAAAATTCAATTGTCCGAATAGTCTAAGCTGAAGATAGATCAATTCACAATAGTTCAAACTTTGAATTTGCTGATTCTTGCTTTTTTCTCAGCGAATTTATCAATTAGTTTCTCCATATTCAAAGACCACGCTTCTTTGTTCTCAATAGAAAGGATGGCCAATAAATACATACGATCTTGAGAAATACTTGAACGCAAATAATTCTTTATAAGTTTCAACTTTGAGAATGATCGCTCTGCGCTCGCAACTGTGACCGGGAGAGTGACAAATATGACAACAGCTGATAATAACTTAGAGTAGGTACTCATGTCCACGTCTTTTACCAGGGCGAGTACCTCGGAAACACTTGACATACGCTTCAATTGCTTTCCGAAACACAGCGAAACGATTCAATTTCACCCATAAGATCAGCTGTGTAATCTACTACCTCAACGCCATCTTTGCATATGTCTCCTATATATTCGTTAACTAATACGTTAACAGACTTGCGCATCTCTGTGATGTCTAAAGATGCAAGATTTCCAGGAAGTACGAACTTGAAGGCGTTGGCAACAAAGTCCTGGCTCTTGAAGCGTTCTTCTAATTGAGTGGTTGCAGTTTCGATCACTCGGTAAAACATCTCGACAGTAAATCTTTCTTCAGGGTCCTGTGGTCTGGTGTCTGACGCAAATTCATCAAAGAATCGAGGAACACGGCCTACTCTCTTAAATGTAAAAGTAAACGAGACATCGACTTTCAACGCAAATTTCACAGCTTCCATTTTGATCGTATTCCACTTGTCTCGCATGCCTTTTACTTTACACAGGGCCCTCTCTAATTCTTTAGCTGCTTTACATAAGTCCAATTTCATTAACTGTAAGTCTGCTGAGGCGATCTGAATTGCTGTCAGTAACTTTTCCCATATAATGAGCATGATCACGAATTCAAATCTGTTCATTTGGCGGTGCAAATTTCCTGCTTTGTCCCGCTCTTTGGCATTATCTTTTCCTTTCTTTTCTTTCAATTTGTTCAACACATGGAGCAAATCACCATATCGATTCTTTACTGCTCTTACAGAGTTAATTCTTGACGACCATCTGGTGGCACACAGTTTCTTCAGTGTCAACTTATTTTTACCATTCCTCCTCTTCCTTTTGGGGGTGATTGAGCCGGAATTAATGCTAGTGTCGTCAGAATTGTCACTGTCACTGTCAGACACCACACTGTCCATGAATTCATTGATCACGTTGAGTTCAGCAGAGTTATCAACACTTGTAGCGCTGTTAAGCTCCGCTGTTCGATTGATGCTTTTGTTAAAAAAGTTATAAATTTCTTCAAGATCAGAAAAAACGTTGATGCTATCAGCATTGCATTCAACAGCATCATTTAAAACAAGGTTTAGGTTATGGCTAGCACAGTGAACAAACGGAGCAGGTGATGTTACTCCTTCACTTTTAAGGTAATTTGAGATTAGTATGTTGACACCTCCTTTGCTTCCACTCATTACACTTGCTCCGTCATATCCCTGGCCCCTTATTCGTTTGGGATCCAAAGTTATATGTCGCAAATAGTCGAGAACAGTGTCTGTTAGCGCTTTGGCAGTTCCTCCTTGTTTGGCAGGAAGGAACCCCAAAAACGTCTCAACAGCTTCTGCAGCTTCAACGTCTACCCATCTTACCACAATTGAGATTTGGTCCACCCGGCAGATATCGCTTGTAGTGTCAAAAATAAGAGTATAACAGGGGGCAGTTTTTATTTTATCAACGAGTTTGAGTCGAGTGGCATTACCAAGAATTTCAATTATTTCGTTTTGGATACTCGGAGATAAATATCTACATTTGTGAGATTTAGACTCAACAAGCTCTCTAAAGTAAGGATCACCATCACCTACTTTCAACTGCATGTTAACCAAACCAAGAAAATTGCCTCCTTCGCATTTTCCGTTTCCGACAAATTCCCTGTGTCCCCGTAAAGGCAGAGACAGACTGGCTAAAGTCAATATGATTACTATTATTCTGTGTAAAACCTCACGCCAGAAATTCTTGGCTTTTGCAATTCCAGCTTCATTAAGCATGCTGACTCCCTTGCCTGCTTTTATCTGGGCATAGTGCTTCGTAGCTTCTTTATGCGTCATGCTTTCTTCATGTGTTTCAATTTGCTGCTTCAGGTGATTAGTGTTGGGAAAAAACCATCTATCCATGGAGTATCTTTGTTCCTTGATGTATCCTTTGCTAACAACCAACAATTGTGACAGTATACAGTGCCCAATTTCTCAGAGCAGCTGAACCAATTCCTTTTCACTGAAAACAACTTCAAATCCCTACACAGAAAGGTATAAAACTTTTTACTTCTACATTCCTTTCAGAATATATTTATAATAAAAATTTCCCATGAATTTTTAATCAATGATTAACACTAACAATGCGCACATTGAAATACAAATTAACACACATTGTATACTTGCCTGTAGTAGTACAGTGCAGGATTAAACTTTCGTCCACCCTGCGTATTTATGATTGTGTTTGGTTGGCAGCTGCCAACCTTCACCAGAACTTCAACCAAATCATCAGATAACCTGTCTCTGAAATGTCCACGATCTGATGGGTAGGTAGCACAGGGATCAAAATCTTCCAGTTCTGAGCATTTTCTGAGATCTGAAAGTAACATTTTATTACACAGGAGAAGCTATTTATTTACATTTGACACATACAAAAATGCCTCATAGAAACACACATTATTATATGACCTACTCTGGAATAGCTGGCATGTGTACAGTATGATCAGATTAAGTCATAGGCCTACCCTATGTGCAATTCTACAAGATATAATTATTTTCACAATACCGGCTACTGGTATATTAGTACTCAATTCAGATTCATCTAATGATTTGCTCATCGTATGGCCAATGTGATCATCACCATCTGGACTTTCTGCTGTCTCACTTAATTTCACACTTTTAAAATTTCCTGGAAATTAGTACAAACATATTTCCATGAAATCAAACAAACATTTCAGGTCTTAATTCAAGCAATTTTAACTTATTACTTTGCTATGTCAATTTTAAAAGGCAATATATAATGAATAAAAAAGTTCACTAACCCTGACGTATGGAACCACTGGAACATTCAGTACATTCTTGGGATTCAATCTCAGTTTCAGAAACAACTAGACCTATATCGTTGTCTCCTGTATCCATCTGTCCTTTGGAGTTGGCTTCATTGCTAGCAGTTGCAGATGTACTTACACGATCAAACAAACTGGTTATTTTTCGAATCTTTGAATTTTCACTTTCTCGTTTTTCCCAAAGAATCTTTTTCTGTTTACGTTTTTGAGCCCCCGAAAGCTCCTTCGATTTTTCCATCTTTTAAGATTATAAGTAAAGACTGAAGCAAAACAATAAAAGTTATTGAAATTGATCTTAAATATTTATGGAGTTAATATAAACAATTCTACTTTTAATACTGCACTTTCGCTGTACTTTAATCTTTATAAAATACCTATCTTTGCCATATGTATATATTAAGTTTTCGAAATATTCAAAATCTTACCTGTTTATTGTTTTTATTAAAGAAAATGCATGAAAATATGTATGTTTCAACTTTCCTAGTTGCTCCATTTTAAAGAAATGTTGATCAGTGTTTCTACTAAATACTGAAAATTTTTAGTGTTTTCGTGAATCAAAATTTCCTCATTTGTCAAAGCTACGACAGTTTCAATCTGTGTTTTATTTTGTTGTGTACAGTTTTTCTTAAATTTTTTTTCTTTTACTCTTCTACATTCTAGCAGGGGGCCCCCCATGCTTGGGGGCCCCCGGGGTTTTCCGGTCTGGGCCCATAGTAGTTACGCCACTGATCATGATAACAATGTCATCTTTTATTTTGCAAAAATTATGTGTTTATAATGTAACACGAGAGATGGCACAGGCATCAACATGCAGAACATCAAAATGAAGTTATAATTATAATACCATAACAACATAAGAAATAATTATATGATTATAATAACTTTATTGAAGTGTAAATTTTTACAACAGAGCACAATCGTGCTCCACTAAATTAGGAAGAATTAAAATTATACATTTTTTTTTGTTTACTGCTAGTTAATAGGCTACAAAAATACTGTACATCCTTCTAGAAAGTTTGCCACTTTGACTATGGAGCCTCATTTTTGTGTATTTGACATGTCTCAATCATGAAAATGAGACTTTACAACCTATAACCAAAGTGATATATTTTCTGGAAGCATGTATTAATTAAAATACAGTTGTTCAAAATTAATCAAGCTTTAATTGTATGTTCAGTTCAGGCACAGATTTTCTGGGGGCACCCCCACAAATTATATATATTTTGATTTGATAGTTTCATATTTGATTATTCTTACTACTAAATTTGTAAAATTACCACTATTATGGTCTCAGATCTCACCATTTAGGCCCAGAAAACAATTTTTTTCCTTGGCCTTTCCAGGCGTTGCCACCAGCCCCCCCTGCCAAAGCAAGCTGCAGCACCCCCCCCCCCCTCCAATATTTATCCACCCCCGAACGAAAATATGAAAATCTGTCTCTGGTTCAGTTTCCAAAGATGTGGCTTGGTACTGTGTTTTGCCACCCAGAAAGGAGAGTGTGTCATTGTGGAATAAATCTGCAATAAACAAGAATATATTAATTATACAGGTTGTACAATTATCCACGTAACATAACTTAGCATATGACCAAGGTAAATAAAAGAATGTGGCCTAACTCCTCAGCTTAAATCAGAACTATGAGTACACTTATAAACTCAAGGTACATTGTTTATTCAGAGTGATATTTACTGATCGAGAAAACCTGTAAGAAAACAGTGCATCCAGGAAACGAGGTGTGATCACACATGCATTCCTTGGCACACACCTTGGCTAAACCTCGGCTGGGGGAAAAGTGTGATTTATCTCAGGCCTCTATAATGACACAAACCAGAAAGCTAGCACCTCCAGCTTATACTGTACATATTAAGTTGGCACATAACACAAAACCTAAATCCCTCTTTCAAAAAGATAGTCTGTGATACATGATCATAGTTTATGTCCATTTATAAAACGAGACCTCAGTCGACCTCTTAACATTATTACACAAGACAGTTCGCACCTTAAAGACTGTCGTATTACTGGTATATGTGACTGAATATCATTTTAATAAGCTTGATAGGTTGTAACCAAATATTTGCGATTGTGATTCACGGCTTGCTAAAGTAGTGGGAAATTTTACACTTTCCCATGTGTATTGCACTGTAGGAAGCTTTTTCCTTAACAAATAGAGTGTCATTTTCATCATTATACTTATTAATTTCATGTCAAATAAGATAAAGTGTAAATAAAATTGAATATGAAAATACGTCTCTTTAGAAATACCTTTGTAAATCCATATTCAAGTCTCATCTTTTTCCCACATTTCTTGAGGTTTTAAAATTTGTTTGTCATCTTTGATGGGCGAAAATAACACGTACGACTTCCATATCTTTGTCCAAATGTAGAAAATTTATATCGAAAAAATTTTAAAAACCGATTCAAAACAACAAGAACTATATTGCCTATATTGCTATATTATCCGCAAAACGTTTTTTCAAAAACCAGGGGGGGGGGTGAAAACGCCTGTGGGCTCAGAATTGAGCCTGGTGCAGAGCTTTGGATTTGTCATTGTTTTGGAAAGTTTAGACCAATGAGAGTCAAAATTTTGAAGTTGAGGTGGGTTGAAGCGTGAATTTTGTTTGTATGGTTAATTTTGAATCGTTGGATAGGTCTCTGCTCATTCAATGTCAAGAGAACATCTCATCCAAAATAGGAATAGGCCTAAGCGGGATATTGTCTTTATGGATTTTAGGTAGTCCGTATAAAATTCCTATCCGAGAACCAGTTGGATATAGTTTTTCATAGGTTGCTGGCGTGATTGATTCTGATTTCTTTAACGTCGACAGGAACCTCTTGACTTTGTTCTCGCATTGTAATGTCAGTTTTACCGAATCTTCGTCTAGGCGTTGAAATTTGGTTTCATCTTCGAGTATGGCTTCCATTTTCTTGTTGTAGTCATCCTTGTCAAGAATAACTACCTCATTTCCCTTATCTGGTTTGACAATTACAATGTTAGTATCGTTTCTAAGGTTGTTGAGTGATTTTATTTCTTCCTTCAAGAATAAAAAGTGGCGAATTTGAGTCCTTTTGAAAGAATTTCCTTTTCTTTGTCTGTGATCAAGCGCTGTGAGAAATTGAATACCATGGTGTTTGGGTCAATGGAGCAATCTGTCTTGGCTTCAGCGCAAAGTCTAAAAAGTTTGCGATCTTGATTCCATTGATGGTGGTTAAGTTTCTTGGTGTTTTCGTGATCAGACACATTCTTTAAGTGTATAAAATCTAAGGATGACACAAGTGCGGCTAGACTGGAATGGGCGACTGTCACTTGTGATGATAACACACAAATTCTGGCATGTTTGGCGGCAATTTAGTCTTGTAATGATTTGTTTTGGAATTGTCGGTATGCACTCGAGTTTCGCAGATGTTGATTTGCGACCTTGAATCGTAGAAATTTAGGTATTACCAAACGTTTTTTACAGTTCTTGAGGAACTCTAAACCCAGTTTGGCTTTTCCAAGTTTCATCTCCAGATGCTAAAATTTCTGGAAGGCTTCGAGCAAACCATTATTGTAGCAGTTATTCAAAATACTTGCGATAGATGAACCAGGCGGAAATCTTAAGATAAATATTAATGCCCAGCAGAAAATACGTAAAAGAGCCATAACAAAAGTATAGTTTAAAAAAATTTATTAGAAAGCTAATGTTTCGTCTTTAACTTAAGACATCTTCAGAGCAATGACATACAAAACGGAAAACACAGAAATATGAATAAATTACAACTATTTACAGGAAATTATATTACAAAAGTAGGAAGAGGAGTGGATCAGAGTAGAAGTAGAGGGACCGAACTGCCTTGTAAGTTGAGAGAGGGTTTGAGTTTGTTAATGAGAAGACTTTCTCGAATGAGGAGTTCGTCTGGAGAAGAGCAACAAGAAATAATCTTAAAGTCATTAAGGGAAGCGGAGTGACCAGTGCCATCAAGTGGGAAAGGATACTAGGCATGGTCGGATTGCTGCTTTTACTGCCTGTTAGAAGAGAAACACCCAAGTGTTCAGATACTCGTGTGTGCAAGTGTCGGACCGTTTGACCCAAATATGTTGCGGAACAGCAACAACACGTGAAAGAACACAACACAAGATCTTAAAGCCTTAGGAATTTTGTCCTTAACTCCTTCTCAGCAGGGGCCATTACAAGTAGAACGTGCACGTTCTACAGATGTAATTCATTCATATCTTTGGTTCAGTGCACGCTATGTAAATGAAAATACTACCATTCGATTCAGTATAAAAATATACACTAATTTATAACGATAGTTTTAGTCAGTGGCTAAATTGTAGCGACTTATGAGCTTTGAAAGTCAAGCGAGCTCGGTATTTGATCAAATTACACAATATTACTAACAAATTATAAACATAGACATACCTTTCGCCGAACATAACTTCGGCCCCTTGAGACGTATGCTCATTCTGGTAGTCTTGCTGAATGAAGCAGTTAAAAATAACATGTATACTGTTATTTTCAAGCTTCTATCTTTAAAATATGAGTTTTCTTGCCGAATTTTGCATTTCTGCCCCGAATTTGCGTTAATCCCAACCGGAAATACGACGAAAAACCGTCAAAACAATGCGTAGTTTGTATCGCGTGACTCTGGAAATGCCAGAAATGGATTCTACAGGTCAAAGTGCACCCATACGCGTGAGTTTGACGTCATCCCGGCTAAAGGGAGCTCCTTATTGGCCAAGTATTACGTAATACAAGTGCGTGCGAGTAAAACCCGATACCTTGAAAAATTCAAAATAAATATTTCTACTCGCCGTATTCATACGAAACTTTCTACACTAAAGCGCTTGAATACAAAGAGTATTTTGCACATATATCCTTTCAGAAAATGACACCAAATTTTAGAATATATTCAACTTTTTCTCTTTTTCCCGTTTGAATGTTTGGCGAAGCCGTGAGTATAAATATATGATTGTTTCGGTTTGTGTAATGTTTTGACGGCACTTGACCCCCCGTTCGAAAGGTTATATTGTGAGGATTTCAATGGTGGCATTTATTTAATAGGGGGGTAAATACTCGCCGATATATTTATATTAGAAAAATTGTATCGAAATGTAATACGAAACCGGTTGTCGAGAAAGAGTTAAAGGTGATGAGTTGAGAAAAACGTAAAGTTGAATGAAAAACGAATCTAATATTAAGATGAGGAAAGGCTGAGGAACAAAGGCGGGAGATTTGGATCTCATGAGTATCTGAACAC